AGATCAGAAACAAAATGGGGTTGTAAATACTTTCATATAAAATGATTGATGTTCATTTCACATCAATAAAATAAGTTGCAACCCTATTTTGGCTCTGATATTTCAGGCTAAACAAACTATTCTGGCATCAGTGTCTTTTTTCCAATTAAAACGGGTGACAATGGCAAATAAGGAAGCATATAGAAGAACTATTTGTTGCTGAACTAAAGAAACTATAACATAAAGATAGAAAAACTATATCTCAATCACTTCAAACAGAAAAATATAAATCATACTCAATCTTCGCAGCTAGTGATATAGTGCAAACACCACTATTGGTCTAGAAATGAGCAATTGCCTACAACGTTTTCTTAAAAAATATTTTATACCTACTTAAGTAAATGTAGAAAATTAAATAGATACTACAAAAAAGTATTTATTTGAAGATACGTATTTTGTATTTGGCATTTAAAATACAAAAGGAAAATTTATTTTGCATTTTACACTACTAAAACAAATTCTGAAATCGAAATTATAACTTATCCATACATATCAATTGGAGAACGCGAAGCAGGTTCTGCAACCGTTATGCACGAATGCTCTGCGGTGTAATCTAACTGCAAGGGTGTCACAATAACTTGTTTTTTTTTTCTCAAATTTAAATTTTTATAAATGCGCCCATATATTTAGCGAGTATTAACTGAATCATCGTTATTTTTAAATTTATTTATATTTAGTCGTAGTAAATCAGCCCTCTTCCGCCCCTACGTTCAATAAATTAACTGTAACCGCATATAAAACATGCAGTTGACCAGAAGTAAAATACGTACATAAAATATTAGCCGTTTTCAATTCGTCCGTATTAATCCAGGGATATCTGAAAAGGTGTAGCTACTAGCTAGCATTATGGCCGAGCCATTGCCCTAAGATACATTGCTTCCTTACAACCAAATAGGACTTGGGAAAGGAAATCAATCTTATTTATCGTTGACGGAATTTTGCTTAAATAAATTTTATGGAATACGTTTTCCGAAACGACGCTGAATTAGAAGAACAAAAAGCAAAACACTCAATGAAGATTAAAACAAAACTTTTGAAGATTTGTAAAGAACAATTATCTACATCAATCATATGATTATACGTACATCCAGCTTTGACTGACTTGAATTTATTCCAGCAAGCTGCCTCGTTAGAAAAAGTATTGAAAGAGCAACAGCAACAACAACAGTTGGAGCTGGAGCGCGCTTGGGATAGAGAAAAAGAAATTAAAGGGAATGGAGAGACAAGTCCGACTTCAGAGCACAGGGTGCACGAATTATCACCCCCGCCTGCTGCGGATGCACAAAAAGTTCTGGGAGCATCCATACCTGCCACGCAGGTACTTCACGAATCTTCGATTTATCGTCAACAATCGTCTAAGTTTTTGAATATTTTTAAGGCTCAACTCACACCAGGATCTCAGATGATAGGGTCTCCTGTTTCTGGACTACATCATCACATGCAACAACTTTTACAACAACACGTACTAAGTCCTTCGCAACTGTCGACCTTAATGAAACAACATTCTGTCTTACAACAGCAACATCATCAGCAGGTTAAAAACAATGAGCTATTCAACTCAACATGTACAACGTCTAACTGGCGGATCTTTGTTACAGCATCAACAATTAGCCGAATTAGGGAAGAAACAGATCGAGCAAACAATTCAACAATTACAAGAACAACTGCAACTTAATCTCATTCAACAAACGCAGATTTTACAAAGTACAGATAAGAAAAAGGCTTCTGCTTCTTTACAGCAATTAGCTTTGCAACAGCAGCAATTAATTCAGCAGTTACAACTCATTCAACGGCAGTATGTTGTGCATCAAGGAATGGGGATGCAACCTATGATGCTCGTACAAGGGTCCGGTAAGTCGCTTTTTGTTTTAGATGTTTGCTAGTAGCGTATTTAATATAATCATTTAAAATAAACGTACGTATTAGGTACTTATAGGCGTAACCAAAAAAGAGGCTTATCACTTTTACGAAAATAAAGCATGTTGCTCACTATTCTCTCAAAACAAACTTACCTACATACCTGATTGAGGATCCTTCAAGGAAGAACAACACAATCAAGAAGTTCGAAGAACTATTATGGTTATTCTTTAACTATCATAAAAATCAAAATATCATTTACGAATTAAAATGAATCAAGAGTAAATTCATTTAAAATCAGTTTCAAAAGTGAATTATAATGCATGTAAATATTTTGCAAATATCATTTTGAAGAAAGCTTCAAGTGAGAAACTGAAATTGCCGGAAGATGTGTGAGGTGGACGTATTCCAGCGAGGTAGGTACACCCTCCTGATGCCTGTCCAAATTTCTCCCATTACAAAACCTTAGAAACTGGGCAATGCCACTATTGATGCCGCTTTTGAATCAATCGTTTTTATCACCCCCCGAAAGGAAAAAGAAGCTGATTAGGAAAAGATGGATGTCTGGGCTTCACGTGTGGTAAAACTGTTGGCACTTGCCCGTCCCTCATCCCCTAATTTCTCCACATCGCTCCCCTATTTTATCCTTTCGCTGGAATCCGTCCGACCTCAACACCTTCGGTTTTAACGCACGTGAAGCTTTTTAAATTAAGAAATCAACTTTTTTCTAAAATATCCTTAGAATGTTGATATATCTTTTCAAATTTAGTTTGCTTGAATAAAAATTCCCTTAATCTATCTCACAATCCAAACTTTTAGAAAACTAATACCTTTGCCTCTACATATTAATGTTAATAAGTTTGCTTTTAAAATTTGTATTTCTTCTAACAGCAACCTGTGGATAAGAAGATGGCGACAGCCATTTTCTTTTTGCGATTTGTAGCAACTAAAACTGCGACGAAATCGACATTATATGCTTTAATCGCAACAAATCATAATTACCATTAAAACTGTTATTATTTGATTCACAGTTTATATATGGTGAGGTACGAAATAAATATTCAATACAATATCAATACAGTAAAATGTACTTACCACACATACACGTGTACCTCTACCGGCTTTTTTAAAGTTCTTAACTTAGAGTTAAATGTTTATTTCTGGCAGTGTCTGAGTCTTGTCGGAATTTAATACGATCACTAACACTACATACACACACGTTTCAACCCCGTTTTATTGTTTTTAACATTAAAAAATTTGCAAAACCGTCAGACACATGCCACGCGAACTGCTCATTCTGGCCACCTTTCTCAGAATCACAAATAAGTAATGGCTAATTTCATAGATAGTGTTAGTTCGCGACTGAATGGGATGATCCTATTGGTCGCGAGCTGGCTCGCATAGAAGATGGTGATAAGCGGCTATTTTGAATTAGTTCCTGAAACTTTCGCATAATAAATTGTACATTAGATTAAATAAAATATCCATGCACAAAGGCAATGTAATTAAAACATTACTGTAAGTACGTAGTTAAAAACGTACGTATGTTCGCCAATCTTCACTTTTTGATAATTAACGTTGCATGTTCTGTTTAATTATACTTTGTTTAACTTAATATTAATTAATTAATTAATACCTAAATATGCGTATAAGACAAAAAGACGTAATTTTAACAATTTTCGGTTATTACTTCTGTTGTTTTACTTGTATAGAACTTCAATAACAATTACTATTAAAAACTGCTGCAGTAAATTTTATCGCAGGCTTGAACAATAGGGATGTGATGAGTCCATGGAAAGACCCTAGCATAGAAATTCCTTCATCTCTTCCAAATAGTAAACCCATATCAGACGTAAATGGTAAGAAAGATTTCAATATTAAATTACAATAGGTTCAATGCGCAAATTCAAAATTTTCTAACAAAAAGAAGACAACGCGAAATTTAAGTACGATTTAAAAGACATAATTAGTCTTTCTTATGCAAATTTAAAAAAAAAATAGAGTACGTTTTAAAGACGCATTCTACGTCTTGCGATGAAATGGGTAGTTAATTGGCTCGTTCTTAAGCACCTAATTCGCCAGTACTTTTGGACAATTTGCAGTGGAAATGAGTCGCATAGCTTTTGATTCTCTACAATAACGGCTCTTTTTAGGGCTTATAGGTGGCTTAACACCAAGTAGGACAAACAGGGAGGAGGTCCCAGGGGAAGAAAAAGCCGATGGCACTAACACGCCGGACAAAATTCAACATTTGTATGGCCATGGTGTCTGCAAATGGCCAGGTTGTGAAGTTATTTGTGAAGACGTGCAAGCTTTTATGAAGTAAGGTTTCATGAGAGTATTTTATTAATGACTAACAACTTTGGCATTCTTACCCATATTGGTCCATGTTTATAATAATAAATGTAAATATTTTTAAAAGATACATGGGGGTCGTTCATAAAATACGTTCGGAAATAAGGTGCAAAGATGAAGGGGGGGGGCGGCTCTACAAAAATGTGACGTTCCCAGTCATCAATTTTATATAATCAATTTTATATAATTGTTATTTTTAAAAATTTTCATTTCCTTAGAAAGTCATTCTCATTGTTTATAGGAAGGGGCAGAGTAGTTTTTGTGGGGTAATATTTGTTCGCTTAAAGTGTGACGAAGGGGTAGGGAGGGTTAAAAAGGTGAAATTCTGAGTGCCGCACTTTATGTACGACCCCATAGGTATGTTTATGTTTTATATTTATTAGGGGTTAATTCAATTTTTTATCACCTTAAATTGTCGTTTAAAGTTAAAATGAAAAATATAGACCCTCTGAAGTTCAAATATGCGAAAATAGGACAAAAAGAGTCCGCATCAAGGAAAAGTAATAAAGTCATGTCGGAGGAGATTTACATTTAAATCCGGAGGAGTTGTAATCAAACGACTTGCATATTAATTAAACATAGCGTAATTAGAGTTTTTAAGGCAAGATTCTGAGCTAATTTATATCAGGTTGTCTTTACTGTTTACATTCTCCCCTTTCTTTTACATATTAATCACCACCTCCGAACGCAAAACATAAACCAAAATTGAATTCACGCCGACCTCAAATTTATTGCACTTTGTTGGTTTTCCTTTTACTTTGACATCTTACTTATTAATCCTTTCAGCTTTCCTTCCTTTAGAATTCTAAACTTTTATCGGTTTGTCTCGCAGTAAACCATTTTTTAACTTCTTTTAACTTTAACCCCTTATAAATGACGCACCACCGTGATAAATTATAATCATTAGTACCTATTTACCTGGATATTAAGCACACTTCTTGTATAGATACCTACCCCTTATTCTAGATAAGCAAAATACGCGAATTTTTTCTACTTTCAATCGCACATGCCATTAAAAACTTTCATATTCTTATTAGGCATGGTAGAATTCATAGGAATTGGCTTCTCAATCATCAAAATCGGTCAAAAATTAGTCTTATAATAGCGAAATCAGTATTGATCAGCTTTGACGCTTTCTTTCCGCTACCGTTCGGAAAAACTAAACATCAAATCGAAAAGCTCAAATTACTACAATTATCTCAAAATTCTTCTTTCGGATTAGGAAGGTTTAAAAATAGATCATAAGGCATAGATCACCTACTTACTAGCTTTCATACGATTAATGTCAAAAAGCAATGTGAAAAAGTTTATCACAGTTTCGATACAAACTAATACTATTCTAATTTTAACCACAAACATATTGTTTTTACAATTTCTCAGTAGTTCCTGTTCACTGACGTATGTCGGTAATGGGTGTTTTGGAACATTTTGTGTATTTAATAATTTTTCTATAGGCATTTAAATACAGAACATACATTGGATGATCGATCCACTGCTCAAGCAAGGGTTCAGATGCAAGTAGTTTCCCAGTTGGAACTACAATTGCAAAAAGAACGGGATAGACTCCAAGCCATGATGCAACATTTACATATGTCGAAACAGCTTAGTTCTCCAGAACCTCCTTTAAAAGAAAACACTGCCCCTGTTAAAATGCCTGTTAGTTCTGTGATCACTCAGCCTGTGGTTTCTATAGGCCCCCTAGCTTCGGCTATCCGATCTCCTATCCTTCAAACCCCAGTTCCTACAGTTGGTGGTCCCATTAGAAGAAGGATAAGTGATAAATCGTCCCCTTCGTTAGCAGGGGGTAAGTAAATTTTTTTGTTCTATTTATTTTGTCTAAATTGTAAATATTGAAAGTCCCTGTTATTAATGATAGTATAGTAATAAAATAGTACGAAAATGATAATAATTTATACGATTGTTGTAATGCTGCTAAAGGATTGCCCTATATGCTTGAAAGGGCTGGACTGGACGTTCAACAAGGTAGGTTGGAATATGCCAAAAGAAGACGATAAAAATGATAATCGTTTAGATATTTTACAACGAGCTTCTTGTTTTCTTCCAGAAATTCAACGGAATAGAGAATTTTATAAAAACGCGGATGTTCGACCACCTTTTACTTACGCTTCATTAATTCGTCAGGTATGACAGAAACATATTAAGTTTAAAATCATGGGGAACATTTAAAGTTAGTTTTGTTATTTCTATTCCAGTCAATTATAGAATCTCCCGATAAACAACTTACCCTTAACGAAATTTACAACTGGTTTCAAAATACATTTTGCTACTTTCGAAGAAATGCAGCTACATGGAAGGTATGTCGTTCTAAACCAATGTTTAATGACGAAACGTTATAAAAATCAACGAATTAATTATTTCATTCACAAAAAAATTAACAATTATTAAATTTGAAAAACGATTTGTTCTACTTTTCGGCTAGTTTAATACATTTAATATATTTGTTTAATGATATTATACAGATAAATAATTAATAATTATTTAGCTCTTTGTGCAGTTTTAACCTGTAGGATGATTTTCAGGTTTTTGAAGTTTAACACTTATTATACAAACAGGACTTTTTTCTATTCTGCTTTAAGCTTGCATGTCGGCCTTTAATGTTCTAAAATTGCTAAAAATGATTTTCATTTTTCTTTTTCATAGTTTTATTTACAACTAGTAAGCTGTCATCCATCGGCGCACATAATCATCACTATTATTTCGGAAAAAAAAATTATCTAGATCATAATTTAACTTCATATATCAATATACAGTAAATTATTGTAATTGTTTATATGTAATGATTTTGTGGGTGGATGGTGGTGAGTTTTTTATTAATTTAGTTTTTTTTTTCTGTCGCAAAACGCTCGCACTCATCATTTGGCGGTGTTTGATTTGTTGTTAGAATGCAGTGCGTCACAACCTGTCTCTCCACAAATGTTTCATGCGTGTGGAGAACGTGAAAGGGGCTGTGTGGACCGTGGATGAAGTGGAATTCTACAAGAGACGGCCGCAACGATGCCCAACGGGGCCACTGGCCCAGCCAGTCGTGGGGTACGTCAAGAGGGCCGCATTTTCTATTGTGTGTTTTGTGGTTTTTTACATCTCTTTTTTCCTTATAATCACCTACTCTTTTTTATTACTATTTTTACTATTATTACTACTTTTACTACTACTACTACTACTTTTTAATGCTATTTGCTTGAAATACGTACGGATGTAATGATGAGCGTAAGGTGCGAGCCGGTTCAAATAACGCAGCTTGGGCAACTAACAAAAAACAGCTGCAGGAGTCTCAGGTACTCTCTCGTTATCAGGTTTCTGCGTAAACTAACCTTGACCTGACTTGATTGTGATCTTTCTCTTTCTTGGGTCTCTCTGGGTGTGTAGAATGCGATACGCACCAATCTGTCTCTCCACAAGTGTTTTGTACGATATGAAGATGACTTTGGTTCATTTTGGATGGTCGACGACGCGGAATTCGTCAAGCGCCGCCACTTGTCACGTGGTCGGCCACGGAAATATGACCCAACCCCATCACCCACTCCACCCCACTGCGCACAGTAAGCACCACTCTAGAAGCCGCAAAGTCAAGCTTTTGCTCGCTTCATGCTCCAGATGCTTTCGCGCCTGACTGTATTACAATATTTTCACTTGCATCTGTCTCAATATTTTTTGTAGAGAGATACGGAAATTCACCCTATCAACAAACAACCCTCTGCTTTCCTTTCTTCTTTCATTCGTTTTTCTTTTAGTAATTAAAAATTCTACGTAAAGTGCCGTTCCCGCAAGCATTTTCTCTTTTTGTTTTAAAGACAGGTGCAAGAAAATTTTCTGTTCTGCATGAAAACCCAAAATAACTTCTATTTTTTTTTTGTCACCCATTAATTGTGCATGATAAATGGCGCATTATCGTAAATTGGTAAATTGAAATTATTCATTTGAAGTCTAATTGATAAACAAACAGTAATCCCTTTAGTGAACTGATGGTGTCCTGATTCCCGAATCAGGACAGCAGCAGCACTAGTTCACCTACTGACCTGGAAAATCTTTACCAACCCCTTTAGTGAAATTAATTTGTTGTCAAAGTAAAGTTTACTAGATAGATATTTTGTTTTCAAAGTTTGCACTCTAATAGTTTTGTGTTGTTTATTAGTTGGGAGTAATGTTCCTTTTAATTTCGATTATTTTGTACGATTATTATTTATTTGCCAATGCAGCACGCAACTGCTTTGAAGCTAAGGGTGCGCTTAAGATAGAAGCTGACGCGTTATAGTAGAGCCGGCTTTTAGAATGTTTGGATAATCCAAAACGTTTGCAGTTATAATAAGGAATTAAAACTGAAAATGATACGCTTCAAAAGTTTTGGATAGCTCGCATTAAACAACCAAAGTATGAATGTGATGACAAAACTGTTTAACTAATCAGGGTTAAGGGTTGCGACCATCTCAATCAAAGTACGTAAATATCAAATAATTTTACGACTTTTTTAAATAACTCTTTATTACCTCTAGTTAGTTTCATTACTATATTTTCCATCTTTCGTAGAGAGAAACTGCGTTTGGTTCTTGTGCGACTTTTTTGCTTTTTCTTTTTTATTATTTCTCTTCAAAATAAATTGATCAGGCAGAAAGACACCCAAGTCCTGGACATCTACATAAAAAAGGTAAACCATCGCACAAGAACACGACAGTGTAGCAGAAATTTTTTAATAGTTGTGTAGTTTATTTTCCTCTCATTATTAATTAACAAAAGAAAATACATTTGTGTTCTTCAAGGAATAAAAATGTATTTTCACTTTGTTTTTCATTCTTTCCTCGGTAAATTACCTTGGGGCCTTTAGCAACAGATATTACGTAAGGTTTGTATTTTTAATTCTTTTTTTGACTTACATTTTTATTGTCTGTTTAGTGTTCGATTTTCGCTTATTCTTCGTCCACTATTTTTCGTAACAAAAATGAACTAAATCAAATTTGTAATACAGGGGAAGTGCTTCTAAGAGTCCTACAATGAATCACAGTCCTACCATGTATGGAGATCATTTAGCACCGAACTTGCAGGTAACTGAATTTGTTGAATACTTTTCTTTGTGCCTTTGGTCTTTCGTAAATTTTATCAGCGACAAAAACATGGAAACCAGCGGATAACTATCGTTACTGATAAGAAAAACAAAAGAGCAATTTAATAGTGTTATTATTAAAACAAAAATCCACAGCAGAACGTAAAAGTAATTTATTTTTTGCTAACGGTTGTATGTTTAGGCGCCTATGTTAGAAGACAGTATATCATTCCTGACCAATACTGTAGGGGTTAATAATCGAGATATAAGATCAAGAGAAAGTCCGCATTCACCACCAGTTCAAGATCGTTTAAGGTGGGTAAAAACAAAACTTAAAAAATTAAATCATCTCATTTGGGAGGTCGCAGTCTCATGACCGTTCAATGCAATACCTTCTTTTTCTTCTTTTTACTTTATGTAATACACTTCCAAAATGGGACATAATTATTAGTCGAGAACGTGGTATATGTTACGGGATTTTCTCGTAGGTCTCCGTTAAATGGCGGCCTCCACGTGAAACCTGAGCATTCGTTGGGGGAACAACAGATGATGCGGGATTCAGAAATAATGCAGCACATGATCAAGAGGGAGATCCATTTCGATTACGACGACGTCGATCAAGATCATCACATGGGCGGGATGGCTGAGGACCTGACGATCGCGGGGTCGGATCACAACGAATCAAACATTATCGACGCATAGTGTGCAGTGTTTAAATCGAAAAACTAACTGCGACGCCTTTCCTTTTTCGACGAGCGGAACTTGTAAAATCCATATCTAAACCGATCAGTAGTTTTTTTGTGTAAATTCGGATATGTACAGTTTCTTTTTGTGTACATAGGTGTATAACTTGGAACTTCCTAAGCTGTGAAAGTGTTTAAATAAAATATTCGTAAAAAGAATACATGCAAAGTATGAGAGAGAATTTGTTGCACTACAGCCGAGGAAATTTTTGTTGTTCAATAATATATATATATATATATATATATATACATATTATGTTAATATTACACAGGGTGATATGTTATTTAATGCAGGTACATTGGTTGTTTTTTTTTTTTTTTCATATCAGTGATGGAACGAATTGTAAGTACGGATCTGCACGATAGACTTTTTCCCAGTGCGTGTGTGTTGTAGGTACGATTAAAACCAGGAGAGCATTTAAGTTATTTACTCCAGGTGGTGATGAAACGAAACGAAGCAATATTCTTATTACACTCGATAATATTTCGTTTCATGTTTACCAGAAACAAATAATCCATATCAGGACAGAATCGATTCTTATTACTGTCGTGTATTATAAATATAATGTGACTATGCCAAATTTTAGTGAATTTGCCTCGTATTAGTTGTTAAATTAAATAGTATTCCCTCCTAATCGAAAAAAAAGAATCCACTACCTTTCATTATTGTATATGTTACCTACATAGATCTTGTATCGAAACAGTAGTAAACATTTTTTATTTTTGTAAGATCTAATCTATTATAAAAATGATCATTTAAATTATTGAATTCCTCAAATGTTTATGTACAATTTGTAATAGTTTCTATTTTTTATTTGCATTCGAGCATTTTTATTATTTATTGCAGTACAATTACGTTTGTTTCTACTAAACTGGTGCAACTGTTAGTAATTAAAATTGTGCCAAAATTTTGACTTTAAAAATTACATATCATTTACTCACCCTTAGAGTGAATTCTATTTCAAAAAAAAAAAAAGAGGTCTGCCCCTTATTGGTAGAAACAGTGTATAGCAGGTAATTTTTCATGTAAGATGTGTTGTACGATTTATCGTATATCACTTGTTTAAACAATTATTATTACCACAATAAATAGAGCAATAAATTGTGTTTTATTCTCTACTCGCTAGTTTCAATACAAAAATAAATTATTTCAAAGATAGTTAAAAACAAAAAATGCATTTTTATTGTGACTGATGCATCATTGTATTCTTAGACACCCTGTATATTATAGAAATAAACAACAGGTGCGCTACTAAAAATATTTATCTTGAGATAGGGTTCGGAGTTCCAGGGAGAAAAAAATCGATAAAGGTAAGAAAAATTATTTACGAATATTATACCCGTCGTCGTATCACAAGATACGTCATCATATCCCCAATGACCAGTCGGACACGCACCTAAACGTCTTCCTATCTTGAGCCAATCTTCGCATTTCTGGAAAAGTAAAGCAATCTAATCTAGGTCTACCTCTACCCCTATTAACTCCTGTCACTGCTTCTAATATGCCTCTAAGTAGCCCCGCATGCCTGAGAAGGTACCCTGTCGACTTCTCTAGCCTATCTTTTATTCACTTTCATACTCCTTGTAGTACATATCTACTCATTTCTAACCTTTTCTACCCGCAGCGCCCACCATGTACGTTTCGCACCCATACAGCACCGTACTCCAAACATACACTTTTAATAATGACCTTCGAATTTCCGAAGTAACCGATCTCGAGCACAAAAGTAATTTTTGCTAAAAACGACCCGCCCCTAGCTGGATGTTTTTATCAACTCGCCCATAAATAAATCCTTCTATTTCATTTCTACGGAGTGCTAATGAGATCTAAAAAGTTGCGACCAAGAACTATGCTAATTAATAAAAAATAATAACATCCAGAAGTTGAGAAAATGATAAGTAAAGTTAGTAAAAGCACACGTATTTTTTATTGACGTATGTTATAAAAAAAGCTTAAAATAAAATAAATTACTCTATACAAATCTATGACACTATACGAAAAGTAGACGTTTTTTTTTTTCTATTAACATTGAAAGTTTCAATTTTTCATATTTTTATAAATCCAAGGTAAAAATCTGTCGACTTTTGTGTAGGTATGTTTATGTTTTATATTTATTAGGGGTTAATTCAATTTTTTATCACCTTAAATTGTCGTTTAAAGTTAAAATGAAAAATATAGACCCTCTGAAGTTCAAATATGCGAAAATAGGANAATAAATTACTCTATACAAATCTATGACACTATACGAAAAGTAGACGTTTTTTTTTTTCTATTAACATTGAAAGTTTCAATTTTTCATATTTTTATAAATCCAAGGTAAAAATCTGTCGACTTTTGTGTAGACTCCCGGATAATTTCCTTTGCCGCAACCAATACCCCAAGATACGATTCCTGCTTGCGTCCATCTTCCTGAATTGTATACCATGAGAGGTCCGCCACTGTCTCCCTGTAAAAAAATCGATTATACTACAATTTTATATCCCCGTTAAGACAAGGACACAAGTATTAATTAATTATCAAACATACGCTGCAAGAATCCTTTGCGACATTTCCTGCGCAAAGCATATGATCCACGATACCTCCAGGAGCTGCAGGACCGTACTTAGCCCTACAGTCCGCGTTACTCCAAATGGGGATGTTAACTTTCTGAAGAATCGAAGGCTGTGGACCACCTAATTAAAACATTATGTATTAAGCACTTAAAAAAAAAACAAATTGTATCAATCGTGAACCTTCTCTCAAACTACCCCATCCGATAACTGTGGCCGCTCTACCAGCGAAATTGGCACCACTAGACGGAAGACAAATGGGCCTTATTTTTTTGTTAAATTGCACGGGATTATCCAACGTAATAATGGCGATATCGTTGTACTGAAAACAACATTAAGTAGAAATGTCAAAAAACAAACACATTCTCGTACGTACCAAAGTTCGAGAGTCGAATCCTCTATGTCGTACCACCCTTTTTGCCCTCAATTCTAAATGGCGCGTTTCCGAATTCGTCCTTATGTTGTAATCTCCCAATCTAATCGTCAACCTTGCTACATCCCAAGAGCTCATACTAAAATCGAAAATGTTGGTAAATAAACAGTAAGCAAGGGAAAAAGATACTTATTTACTGGGCAACGCAATGGGCTGCGGTTAAAATATGGCTGTTGTCAATCAAGGATCCACCGCAAAATTGTCTTCCATTGTTGAAGAGGGCGGCAATCCATGGCCATTCCCCAATATCAGCGTTCTGTCCTCCGACGATCCTCTCTTGATCGGTAAACGCACTCTTGGCCCCGCACGATATGTCAGTTATTCCTGCATCAGCAGCTGTTGTAGTTACTGTTGGTTTAATAGTAGGAAAATTAGTACTTGGTTTGCCGTTAATGGGGAACCTGGTCGTCTTCTCCGTGGTAAAGCCGGGGAAACCTAAAGACGGGGGATGTGTCGGTAATGGAGGAATTGTGTGATCTGGGGGATGCGTGGGTAATGGTGGAGGCCAGCTGGGGTATCCTGGTATCCTGTAATCTTCATTAGTCGCCTTTTCGTCAGGGGTAACAATTCTTGTAAGATTTTCGGCCGTATTTGTACAACACACTCCGTAGCTCTATAGTTTGGTAACAAGGTAAGAAATAAATACAAACCAAGAATATCTACATCCACGAATACCAACCTGTTGGCCATCGACATCAACATAAGTGCACCTGTCTAACATATTGTTTATCCACATATCATAATACTGCATGTCGGGAGGATTCCATCTTGGGTAACACGTTTTAAAAGGTAAACAGCGACCTTCGTCTTTAGTGCTCGTTAGACAAGATTCTGAGTTATAGGAACTGTATTTAAATGCTGGAGAATATGGCGCATATAAAGGAAGAACAGATTGGAAATATTGAAAGTAAGGCAAGTAAATACTTCTACTGGCTACACTTCCTTCCCGCGAAGGCGCTCCATCGGCCACTAAAAAAAACATTTTTGCTTATCGCTTCTGTCTTTCCTTTTAAAAACGCTTTTATTTTACAACTCTATTAACGAACATTTACGACTATTTTAAACGCATCTTCATACATTTCTAACGACGACTTAATCTCAATAAAACGCACAATGCCCTAAAAAATTATTTTAAATACAAACGCGTAGTCAACTCATTTTATCGCTACTGATTTCGAAGAGAAAATAAATTTTAAAAACAAAAAAGATGTTGGTATCTACTTTTCTTTTGGCTATTGGACATCTTATACATTATTAATAAGTGTGTGTTATAAAAAAGTGTAGATAATACATAAGACAGATACATTATGTTTTGTAATTTCCCAGTGTGAAATTACGGTTACATGGGTTGCCACAGCCGTGAATACATAAATATGTATAAACTATTTGTTATATAGACGCTAATTACGTATACAAAAAACATTGTCCTCAAAGTCAATGTCCAAACAAATCTTTAATCGTATCACGTGGGTGTAACGTATTGGAATATACTTTACAGTACTTTTAGCAAAAAGATTGGCGCAAAAAAACAAACAAATGCATAAGCCAGACAAATAGAAACGCATAAGCCCTAAAAAAATTGAGAACTTCTTATTTTGTAACGAAACTTTGACAGAACGCCAAGGATAAATAAATTAATATATTTATAAGCTCGGTAACCAACTGAATGAAACGTATCAGAAGCATATCACAGGTGAATGTTCTTTGTGACCTTGACAGTGGTCAATTCTAATTGCCTCCACCTCACAAACAACTACCTTTGGCATATTATAAAAAGAAGAATCCTTGCACATACCAATAGCGTGTTTCTTAAAGGGTCAACTGTTTCTGAATACTTAGTTTGTACGAGAAAACAGGATTATTTCAAATTACTCAGCACGCATCTTTAGTTAAACACTAAAAGGAGTGCTAAACATTTTTGGCAAGGTACGTGTTGTCAATTTTAAATGTGAAACTCCATTCCAAACAACAAAAAACTTTTTTAAGGCCTTTAAGGACCTGTCTTCGTTTTTATAAACAGAATATTTATGTTACTGTTTGACGTCCATGTATGTATTAAAATATTACAACCCCTTAGGACACAAGTTAAGCAATTTAAATACATTTATACTGTATCTTTTTCTAAATTAAAAATATTATGTTTGTAGTTAATTACGGGATTGTTTTGCACTGATTCAAAAAAGTATAACGTTTTGTTAATTTTATAAAATTTAAAAAACTATATTTGCAATTGCGTACCTTCAAGTACTACAGAATCGTCATAGTAATTGGCAGTTTCACTATCAGCAAAAAGACACGTCACTTGAAAAATCCACCACCACATTAAATTTTTTATCAACCCCATATCGAAGTGCCTACTTAAGGCCGGGAGGAAGATGGTCGCGTAGTGAACCCACAACTAAGCAACTCGTATAAATATAAAGACACAAGAAGTAGCCCCCTCCACCTGGTTACTTACAAATACTTATTTGTTACTTACAAGAGAGTCTGTCATCTGATGTCGCGAAACCAAAAAGAATGACAAAAAAAAAAAGAAATGGCAACCACCGAGAATCATTTCGACTTTAGTGAACATCCATCAATAAATAATTAATCAGCTGTACGATATTCGACGGAGCTTTATCAAATTCTTCATCTTTATATCACCAACTCAGAAGTCATTAAAATGTTACGTTTATTGAACCTGTAGGTAAAGGTGGCGTTCTTTTTATGACTTGATCTCTTTCGGCCAGAAACCTGCCGAATTAGTAATGACATTGGAATTTTACGTGGGCCGAAAACTAAACAAATTTAATATATGCAATAAATTACTTTATTCAATTCTTCGCGGTTACTATTTTATAAAAATGTTGATTCAACAACAGCAAAACATTCTATTATCTTCTTCTTATACTTTATATTGGTACAACTCTTTTAACAAAAACCTACTAATTACAACCTCCAAAAAATTATTACGTAAGGATTACTAAAAGACTACTAAAAATCAAAATCCGGAATTTTAACAAGGTGGACAAACGAGGATTAGATTGAGAAAAACGTAAATCAAAGTTTCAATATGTCGAAAATAGATTAAACCTGCAATAAAAAATATCTATAATAATTGAAATTCCTTTCTTAAAAATCAAATTGAAATGAATAATTCCCCTTAGTTACTTTAGTTATTTTTAAATTAAGTCTTACCCTACTACTTAAGCAGTATTTTTCTATTATAATCAAGTTATTATCTTGCAATATTGAAAAATGTTATATACTTAAACTTATTAAATTAATCTCATAGTAACTTTCACAAAGTTTTTATTACAGGCTTTTAAACTATTTCGAAATAGTAATAATACGTAATAAAGGTAATATAAATATGATGACAATGATGAAATTAAACACAAGACCATTGTGAAAGCTACAAATATTTTATTTTTGAAAAATATCTCGATTTAACGCGAATAAAAAGCATCTTTTCTTGGGCTAATTAAATAATTACAGTGGAGACTTCCACAGTGCGTCAAGCAATAAACCTGCGAATGTGCCACAATGTTTGGCTTCAGTTACGAACAATATGTAACATTGTGAATTTCGGTAAATACTAAAAAATTTACCGAGGTTTTTTTGTTTGCTTTGAAAGGTTAATAACCATGAAGTGTTACCCGCCTATTTATGTATATTGAGTTATGAATATCTAGGTAACGTTAAAACGTACCCTATGAATTTTAAATAGATGATATTACACTTAATCCGATAATGCGAATTTTATTCATGAACCCGTTAAGTTCTTAATACTACTCGCAAATATAGTGTTATGTTATATTTTAAGATAACTGATTTATTTGCAAATTTGGAATCCCGTCTTTTATTTAAAATTATAATAAGGCAATTGTATTATGACAAATTACGGTAAAAACAACGTAAGGAAGAAAATGAGATATTACAAAACAATAACGTGTTTCTTCGAGACTGTAAATAAATAATAAACATATTGTTTTATTAAGTAAAAAAACTTGGAATAATTCAGTAAATGTTCCACCTGGTTTGATATCGTGAAACGACGAACACATCGGAATGCAATAAATAAACTTTTTCCAAACATTAAACTTGAGTGACAGGATTATGAATAAGGACCTGGGCTATGTCGAGCAGGTCTCAGGATAATTTTATATACTTATAACAACCGGTTTTGTAAATGATTTGTTTCTGTTTCGTTTCGTTGACCTAAACTTGCGTCAAAATATGCAAACTTTTGATTTTTATTGTAATTAAGGAACCAAAGTTTGGCCCCTATCAAAATGCAATGAATGCAATAAAATAAATTCTTTTTATTTATTTAGTGTCTGCTTTAGTAAATACTATTAATGTGAAATGGCAAACAAGTTAACGTAGTTTTTTAAACAGTATATAACAATATACGCTAAAACGACAGTGGTCACATTTAAAGCCACTCCTGTATTGTAGCCGCATTTTTTCGTATGCTAAAACAAATTTTTAAAACGACGCCATATGTATGCAGGATCAAGCAAAGCGCACAAATTATGTAAAAAATACTTAAGTAATAATACGAAACGATGAGACATCTCTTTTGTTGAGCATGTACAGAAAAATATTCTTTTACTATTGACGCGGTGCGGTGTCTTTAAAAGTATCTTTACAAAGTCAATGGGAAAAAAATGAGTTGAGCGAACTCAGGCCTTGTGCACCCACATGGGCCAATACATAAAATTAATACAAATTGTCCGAATGCAAATTTCGATGTCGAAAATCTTAGAAAAGCTGAATAAAAAATCTTCCTTGATCGACAGTTTACTTGCTAAACGCTTGTATTAAGTGAAATAAATTTGAAATGTAAATGTGAACAGACAGAAAATGATCTTTGAACTTCTAACAATTATACTTGAACCTATTTTCATTGAGGCTCGCGGAGCTTTAACCTTTGTAGAAACCAATTGTAGTTTCACATATTTAGTAAATGTAAATACTTGAGAAAATCTCCACTCAAAATCGATTTTAGAATGTTACTAATAATATGAAGAGTGTGTGTGTGCGTCATTATTTATAAACAAATAAACATAAAAATGACTTAACTTATGTATACTTATATTTTAAAATTGTAATCAAAAATTAATTTTCCTTTTAAAAATTTTGTTTTATTCTAATCTTATTCAGGTAGACAAGTTCAAAATAAAATTTAGCTAAGAAAAACTTTGATATTCATTTTGATTCTACCAAATGCAAAGGAAGCATTTGAATTACATATTACAACTTGATGGTACTATGGGCTACATCTAGTGATCAACTTTCCACTACATTTAATGAAAAGTCCGAACTAGTGGTGACATCTACTGAATATTGCATACTTCCTTTATTCTACTCAAGGTTGCTAGAGATGTTTAAACGACACCTACTGAAAAATATAATAATTTGATTATTCTTACGTGACAGTTGACAATTACGCCGTTAGTTGTGCTAACTAATTCTGAAATTGTTAATTATAGTGGCGTTTTTTTTAATCCAAGGCAGGTGAATATCCCCTATCGTTTCTTTTCAACAGCAGTAAGTATATTTTACATCCCTAACAATAAAATAAATGGAACTGCATTACTATGCAATATTTTCGGGTCAATAATTTATAACGTAGATTCCATATACATATCTTGTTTACTATGTAATTGACAGCTGGTTTGTTCGTGTACAGAAGAAAATAAACAGCAAAGATGAAAATGCCCACAAATAAACCCGTTGGAAATGGCTATTATGGGTATGAAGAAATCACCTACTACTCAGATGGTTCTGCAACAGAAGAAATTGAACAATCTGTTGGGTACCAGGAGGAGAACAATTCAGGGGCAGATGATGATTTCTCTGAATACCTATGGATGGAGAATGAAGAAGAATTTGACAAAGAAGTAAATACCTATTCTTAGTTTTGTACTTGCTGTAGTAGCTGTTTATTGATATGGATGTAGGTTATTGTTTGCAGATAATAATTATCCATATTATTTAAAGGTGATGCAGCAGTTGGAAGAGCAAGAACTCATGGAACAGTGCTTAGAAGCTATGCTTGAGGATGAGAGGATAAACAATCAATGTCCAAACAGACCTGAGTATGTCTTGAATTAGTAATTACAAAGCTATTAGGTTTTCTTTGTTAAACTGTGTTCTCTTTGTTAAGTTTTTAATTCTAAAATACAATGGTTTTCTGCTTTGTCTACAACTGCTTGACAGCAAATTTAAAGAAAATGTTTTACAGAATTGAACTTCTTAATATGGTGAACAACTTAAAGATTGACTTTGTTGAAGTGGCTAAGGGCAGCACCCTGAACCCTCTTGCTGCTGAATTTATTCCTGATGGTTACATTAATTCTGCTACTGCAACTGCTGGTTCTTCATAATGAAACTCTCTATCAATGTTGATGTAACAAAAAAAAAAGAGATTCATGTCTTGATCGTTATGAGGTTGCCAAACCACTGCATTTCATACCTAGAAAACTTCTAGCACTTTAAAAAACTTGAAACTAAAAAAAATTATAATAAATAATTCAAAAATAATACAAAAATACATTAGACTAAGAAATTTAGTGGAAAGTAACTTAATTAATTATACTATGTTGTAATTTTTGTGTATGTAGGCAAATTAACTAATGCTAATGGTTATGGCAACCTTTAAAACCCTTAATGTTTAGTTCTCGATTTAATCATAAAATGCACTTTCATGATATCTATTTTCCATTTGCTACATAACATTTTAAGCATTGTATGTCTGTGATACTTATGTACAAAACCCAGGTTTCTCAAAGAGTTAACTTATTTTAGTCATCTTTTTGATCATAAACCGTTTCTGTTTTATATCTGAGACCCAATTTCAAGATGACTGGAATGACATTAATTGAATTTAAAAACTACTTATTGAAATTTACTTGTGAATGAAAATTATTCAATTATAACTATCTATCGTGATTTTTAATACCGGAAAACTCCTATTTATAATGTTAATCTGAAGTACTTATTATTATAATTAATTAATTAATGTATAGTTCTTATTTAAACATGATCAACACGTACTTGATTTTTTTTGTGAATACAAGGATATACATGTTATTTATAACAAAAAGAAACTGGGATATGGCAACTAATTTTTATTGTAAATTTGAAAAGAGAAGCTTATTTTACCTAAAATACTCAATTAGAGAAATCTAAATGATTTCAGTATAAAGAGACAACCGCAAAGTTGAATAAGTTGTTTAGTTTATAATAAACATCAAATACTGTTAATGTATAAAAGTTTTGCTACTTTTCAGTCAGCTTGAGGTATCCATTTGTTTATTCTATTTGCTCTCATTTTTTTTTTTTGTATATTTCGAGTAATCTTTATTTATATTAAAATACACAATATGTAGATCATTTGATGTATATCTTTCATACTTTAATTTTTTTGTAATAAGTTTGGATGTAATTAATATGCATCACAATGAGATAGTATTGATGTGTAGTGAATGAAATAAATTATTTATGAAAGCTGTAAATTTTGTTTTTGTCTTTCAATAAATTAACAATGTACTTAAATAATTGCATATTAGGAAAATGAAATATCCACTCTTAAATAAATTGGTTTATTGCCTATAAAATAATACCAAATTCCAATTTATACATTCCATCAGTAGAGGTACCTATACCTGTAATTATATTTCAGATTATACAATTTTATTTAAACAAAATATATTAAACCTAACAAAATTACAACAACATAAAATATTTTCAGTAAAAACTTGTCGGGATTTCTGTAGTATGCATAGGAATTAAAAGTTTTAATTGAAGTAAACAAACATTATGAGGCATTTAGTCATAGCTGGTGCAGATAGAAAGGAGAGAATCGGAAGTAGAAAATTGTACAAATTATGATAATCTATAAACCTATATTAAAATAATTTATTATTTTGCTTTCTGATTCTTCTTTAATTCATTCATTTTTTGCTTTTCCCTCATTTTCTCAGCATCCCTAAAAATATAGTAACGGTGGTTTCATAGTTACCAATAAAACTGATAAGTAAAGACCTTAATAATGAAAGCAAGCAGATCCACATAAATAGTTAAATACTGATAAATAATCACCTATATTTGCGTTGTTCTAGAGTCAAACCTTCTCCCCCCTTTCCTTTTTTCTTAGCTATTTCCTGTTGTTTTTTCATATTCTTTTCTCTTGCCAATTCACGCTGATTTCCCCCTAAAAGGTAAAAACACTATTTATAATATACTTCAATGCTATTAATATATACTTACTCGTCATTTTGAAATATTCCTTTTAATGAATATCAGTAATCAAACGCCTTATCGAAGGCCGTAGCCTCGAACAGCGGGTGACAATACCCAACAGAAGTAATGTTATGTTCTGCGGTTCTGCTCAGGAGTTTCAGATGTCTAGTTTATGTTAAACATGGAGTTGATAGTGACAAAGATAACACTACCACAAATTAATAGTCCAAAAAAGGACGAAAGATAACTTACAGCGCCACCAGAGTCTAAACTAAAATGGCGGAAATTTCGATTATTTAAATACTTATTTGTTTTTCAATAAAAATAGCACAGAATGTTTGATGTAATAGATTTATATAAACTGTCTTTTGTCATATATCCATCATGAAATACTGCAATACAACTTTCAGTATAATTTCAAAAAATTAATCTTCGTGTTGCGTATTTTATTAATTGAGAGAATATATGATTACAATTTTTATTGTAATTAAACAACATTAATTTGATGATTTCATATACTCTTCTCTGTTCTTATTTGAAATATACAGATTTTAAATAATGACGAACATTGACATCTGTAGATTGTAATCATGCATTAAAATCACGGTGCGAAGCAGTGTTTTTGTTGTTCTGTACCAGATGGACCTTGTTCGCGCCAAAAAAATATAAAAAAGTTGCGCAACTTTAATTTTAATTCATAATTACTAAATTACTCATAATTAAAAACATTCATTTTCAACCATAAAATAATTACTGTAAAATGTAACAATTTTATTGAAGCCAAATAATTATCCGTGTTATCTTTGCAACTAAAAAAAATTATAATAAATAATTCAAAAATAATACAAAAATACATTAGACTAAGAAATTTAGTGGAAAGTAACTTAATTAATTATACTATGTTGTAATTTTTGTGTATGTAGGCAAATTAACTAATGCTAATGGTTATGGCAACCTTTAAAACCCTTAATGTTTAGTTCTCGATTTAATCATAAAATGCACTTTCATGATATCTATTTTCCATTTGCTACATAACATTTTAAGCATTGTATGTCTGTGATACTTATGTACAAAACCCAGGTTTCTCAAAGAGTTAACTTATTTTAGTCATCTTTTTGATCATAAACCGTTTCTGTTTTATATCTGAGACCCAATTTCAAGATGACTGGAATGACATTAATTGAATTTAAAAACTACTTATTGAAATTTACTTGTGAATGAAAATTATTCAATTATAACTATCTATCGTGATATCTATTTTCCATTTGCTACATAACATTTTAAGCATTGTATGTCTGTGATACTTATGTACAAAACCCAGNAGTAATTGTAGTGTTGATATTTACTATATAATATTTAAATACAAAACGTGCGCCAGTGATTACTGCAGAAGAAAAAATTAATAACTAAAGTTACCTTTCATAAAATAAAAATTACAGCGCCGTTTTAAAAACTGCGTCATTTTGGGTTAATAAGAGAAAACTTTTAACGAATTAAGGAAATTATGATTTTTAAACCGGGAATACATAAATAAACGTTCAAATACGTAACAACTACATGTATAAAAAAAAGTTGAGAGTCAGAAAAGTGAAAGGCGCAGTAAATTGTACGCATTATTGGGAATCTTTTATTACTTAAATGTACTATATACAAAATTCTACAAAGTATATTAAAAATACTACTACTATTTGTATTTGTACTTACATTTTCATCATATAACTCTGTCATCTCAACAATTTTCTTTTTGTTCGTTATGTCATTATAAAATGAGGTTGAATTGTTTCATAAGAACAGAACACTTTCTTCAAGACTGAAGGCATTACCAAGATTTGGCCTTGAGTTAATAAAAAGTGAAAATATGAAGAGGAAATTAAAGTAGAATTAACTTACCCACATTCAGAAGCAAATTTAGTGTACCATTGTAAAATAATTAAATTAAGACGATAGAACGTTAGAAGACAGTTAAATGTAATTTTTATATAAAACTAGTACGAAACCCAAGAAAAAATTAGGTACGTTTTGTTTCTAGTAAAAAGGTCTTTATAAATTGTCTTTTTTTTTTTCTTCTTATAACCCAGAATCGAGTATATTATGACAATGAGATGAAAGGTAGCGACATAAAAAAAAATAAAAATAAAGGTGTATTTTTAAGTAATGTGAGATCGCACCGAGATGAAAGTTTCAGATGATTACAGTGTGAACCAAAAAATATTGGTGTTTACAAAAACACTTTTTATTACATTTTCTCTCCGCTACGAAGAACCTATTAGTTTAGTTCTTTGGTGTGGAATATGAACTTTTGCAAGTTTTTTTAACAAAACTAGTATTACAAAAAATCAAGAATGTACATTTCACAACATAAGCGAAAAATGTGTTCAATACAGCAGCATAACGTTGTGATACTTTACGTAATGATAACAAAAAATATATTTATAAATAAAATATTTATATATATTTTGCATATTTGTGTTTAGCATTTTTGGCTTATGCGTTCAGCTGAGCCCGTGAGTGATGTACATGTAAAAAATTCAAATAATTTACCACTAATTGTCTACTAATAATTTAAAAAAAAGAGTAAATGTACTGTGTTCACTGATTTCCACATTCGGACCAGCCGATTGCAATGAATCTATTTCGCACTTATATTGAACACAACGTTGGTTTTAAGCAATAAAAAAAAAAGTTCTAACGGAACCTAAAAAATACGATTGTTATTTGCACCAAAAGAGCATCGCCTCCCTGAGCTCACAAACTTAAGAGGAAATAATATTATTAAGAAGGCACCTGGTGGGTTTCCCTATCACAAGAAATACTGGTGGAAATCGTCGGCGTTCCAAAAAATATGTACGCCCGTCCACACTTATCTATGTATTTTAATAATTTTATATTTTTTTTTGTGACTGCTATTTAAGCTCGTGCATATTTTTACTTAGTAAAAGATTATTGTGGGGTCCCGAAAGATGCCGTATTAACTCTGGAAGTGATTCGAACGAAAGAGGACAGAAGCAGCAGTTGAAACGACCCACACTGCCTTCGTTTGACGAAATAACGTTCCTATGCACTGAACACAAGTGTTTTAATAAATGCGCTTTCTGTTTAAACATCGCAACACATAGCCGACAAGCAAATGGTTTTTCGCCGGTATGCACTCGCAAATGAGTTTTTAAATTCCACGACATACCGAACTGCTTGCCGCAATATTCACATCTATATTCGCGCACCTGTCCTGTTGTATGTCCACTTTGTTTACCACTAGCGGCCGGAAGAGAACTTTCCGAAGAATCCTCACCGACACTTGTCGAAAAAGATGCGGACGGTTCGCGAGACGAATCTTCACCACTAGGAGACGGGTTCACTTGCGCTTGGCAGAGAGACCAAGCGCCCCAAGTATGTTCGAAAGACTGATACGAATCGGAGGGCATATTTAGATCTGCACTAGGAGGCCGATATTTCACCAAAACGTCGGAAGAGACCGATTTATCCGGTGGTTGCGTCGAAGTTGGTGTATGGGTCCGTTCAACCACGAAAGGAGGCGCCGAAAGAGAAAGGGGATGATGTGCAGCAAGTATAGGGTGACGGATTGTTTTCAGACGATGATGAACTCCATCGTCGATGTAAGATGGGGAGAAAGGAACGAATGGCGGATTTTGGGCGGGTGAATTATGGAATCCCGGTCTCCGTTTTCGATGCGGGGTAACGACGTAGTTGTCGGGACTTTGGACCAAACTTAGTAATTCCGGTTCCCCGGCGGGAGGCTTCAACTGTACGAATTCTTCTTGCTGTTTCAAATCGATGGGTTCGATGTGAACCGATTTCCGTTTTATCCGGTGATGATGATATTGTGAAATTTCGTGAACCTTGGGAGTTATTTTTACAGTCGACTGGCCGATTTTCATGAACTCTGGACCCTTTTTTTCTTGATTCTAAAAAAACAATATAACAAAAGTAAATCAAACAGGTTTAAAATCCTTACTGATAAGGCGCTAGTTTACCTCGAAGTTGTCATTTTTTTCACTTTTTTGATTACTTTCGTCAGTATCTTTTGTGTTTAGCGATAGATTAACGGGGTTTGGCGATGTACTGTTCCTTTCTAATTCTGTCTGTTCGCCGCTACCTTCTTCTTCCGTTTCTTCGTCGTCTTTGATTTCACCCTCTTCTTTTTCATCGTCATCGTTTGTTTCCGTTTCTTTTTTGACGGTAATTGTGGTCGTAGCTGTCGCCGAAACGGTCTCTTCGTTATCCGAACCAACCCAGTTGTCGCACGTTTGAGATTTGGTTTCGGCCGACTGCCACACGTCCGATTTAATTTGCAACAAGTCGAAAAGTTCTTGAATGCTATTCAATTCGCTAGACTGAAAATTGAAAAAGTGAAAGAAAAAGGGGAACACGTAAAAATTCTCTTGGCGAAGTGTTTCTAGAGTGTTTTACCTTGATGCAAGCTTGTCCATTGTATAGGAAGTCTAGCAGGTGTCGTAAGTGGCAACTTTTGATACCTGGAATGAGAACGACACTGGGCCCATGAGCGTGCACACTTTCGCCAAGAATACGGCGCACCAACGGACTTGCCGAAGCCATTATCAATTTGTGTGCATTTATTGCAGTCTTATCATCGCAAATGAAAGTCATATCAGCAAAGTTTTCCGACGCAAAACAAGTTTTAATTTCTTCTACTATAGTCGCGTGATGCTTGCCATAATGCAGAGTTAATAGACCGTGGGAATCTTGCTCTTCTGAGTACATGGCGAAATAGATGATTTGGTAAGTAACCACGAAAATCTAAGATGAGCATCTGGAAAACCAAAAAGAGGCGACCGAATGAATTCGAACTTATAAACCGCAGATCTACCTACATACATGTTCCCCATGTATCAGATTGGAATTCTCTTTTTTTTTTTTTAAGTAAATAACGTCCTGGCTACTTCATTTTATGTCAGATATGCACAATAGTTATGTAGACAGATACTTTATGTTTATAAAGTACTTGGTATCCAATGATGACGTAATCGTTAAGAAATAAAAGTAAATTACATAGCATAGTCTTTCAAATAACAACACTCCCATCAAGTAACAGAGAGAGAATTCTGCCTTAACCAAAACCAAGGTCATAATCGCGAAAGGAGAATCTTGATACACACACACACACACATAAAACATACATACATAGTAACACACTCGTTGGGAGCGTTAAAATTTAATCATCGAATCAAGTGTACCGATGAGCGAGCGACAACCGCGACACGGCGCGACCGCGTCGCGGCGTGCAAACCAGAAAATGCTACACATAAAACATTATTACAATTTCAAACACCCGTTACAATTAACAATATCGACACTTTACAAAGAATTGAAACTACATATATATCTACACACAAATATATAAAGATCTATACAACACCTGTATAAGTGTGATACCTATATGTGTTATGCTAGCGATACGTAACAGAAAGTTTTAATAAGCGTTCAACGGGTCGGTTTGTAGGTACAGTAAAAAAGCAATGGAAATCGATGACTTCGAATGTCACCGCTTTTAGGAAAGAGAAATGCAAGAAGGCCAGAATATAGTTGCGTTACATAACCGGGCCAGCCGACTAGATTGTACGTGTACTATAATAATACTTATATTAGACATCGATGGGAGTGCAGGATCGTAAGAAAAAGAAACTTATTATAAACAAAAAATTAAATTAAAACTTTCATCTATATACTTATAGGTACCTAGAGAGATACTATAGGCAGATGCAGAGGTATTAAACGGACGTTGTCGTTAAGTAGTTATCGCGTGCGCGTTTTGTATTGTGGCGCGGAGGGACGTCGCGACGTCGGGCGTCGATTTATAGTTTGGAGCAACAAGTTGCTCACTCGCATCAGTTGATGTCGCCCACCTTACTCACCCGGAAAAGATAGTAATCCTATTGGGCATCCGCGGGGGTCGAGGCCGGGCCCACGAGATGACGATAACCGCCACGACCTGGAGCACCACTAACACAACTACAGCAGTTGACACAGCACTCTTGGAGACACATAGTCGCCACTGCATAGGTATCACTACGGACGGCAGGTAAAACACCGCGAAAAATACACTTTTAAATCCACTTTGCGAATGCGGCCGCGTGCGTTTTAGTATGCGGGTGACGATGAAGAAGAAGAAGAAGTAACAGTTGCAGTAATAGTAGTAATAGGCAGGAGCAGTACAAAGGCAACGAGAGTAGTATTATAACAACAGCAGCTTTGTTCGTTCGTTCATCGGCCGGATTCCGCCTCGAGTGAATTTATTTTTGGGCCACGACACTCAGCACTGTGTTGCGCCACAAATGAAAGTAAAAGTGAACAAAAGCTGCCCGACCGAACGAATGCTTGACGGTTGCGCGAACTCGAACTCAGTCCAGGTGCGGACACAGGGCTGAAGCTATGTAGCTGCTGCTGTTGTTGTTGTAGCTGCTGCTGCTGCTGTTGGTACTGCTAGCTGCTGCTGCTGCTGAGGGCCCCGGCGCCATTCCCGACCAACGCTGCTTCGCTCGAATTCACACAACTACCACTAGCTCTAAATTTCTCCCTTTACTTTCCCCTCTTTTCTTTGGTCCCCTCCGCTTGCTGGCCGTTTTTTTTTTCTCTTGTTTCTTGGCTACTAGCACAACAACAGACACTCATACATGTGTACACATCATTCACACGCACTCACAATATACACACTGGTGCACCAGTAGCAGAGTAATAGCAGTAGTAACACACCAGCCACCAGCAGATCTACTACCAGAAGCTGGCTCCTCTTTCTTTACTCCGAAGGTCGTTTTGACGGAGGAGACGCCACGGTACACGGTCGCTATCTCGCATTTTATTCGCAGCACCACTTATAGTGATATTTTCTAGCGGCGCGCACCACGCTAGAGCCTACTTTACTTACTATTTGTTAGTTGGTTATTACGGCGCGCAACACTGACTTAAGTCCGAACCGAATCGAAGAAGTAGTAAGAACTTCTATTTCGGTGCGGTCAGTAACAAGTTGCCAGTTAGTTTTATATGTATGTATGTATAAAGTTAGAAATAATAGTAAAGTAGTTTCGCTTCGTGTTTGCTATTCGAGATTCGAGCCCGTCAATTGCAGCTAACATTCCAACCGTTTCAATATTGCTTTCACCGGCAACGCCAAGGAGACTCGCGCAGCACCAACGGGGCCCGCACAGGGGAGCGCGACCATACTTTCACAATACCTGCACCGCGTGGGGGAACTGTTGTATAATACCAAATGCAATCGAAATACATTACGAATTCAGATTTTTAATGGCGTCCGTTATTTACAACTCTAATTTCTTCTTCTTCTTCCATTAGTCACCGCATGTTCTTCCTTTTCCAACTTTACCAACTTACATCTTCGATCCCCAAACCGCATTATACTTCTCATAAAACTTTCATCTTATTATTATGGCACAACTCCATAATTGCCCATCATCCAACGATTTGTTTACCAACCTAGGTACATAACTTTCTTATTTGGGCACAATACATACCTATGTATCTGTAGGTATAGGTACCTAGTTGTCAGGAAGTACATTAAACCATTATGATAATGAGTAAATTTTCGTTCATTCGTTACTGTTCCTGTTTGCGGAGTTGTTTTTTAATATCTGCCTATTATACATGTAGTATATAGGTAGTTAATTTTAATATCAACTCAAGGTAAAGTGTATCTAATTATTACAATATTTAAAGCTAAAAATAAAAAGCGTATGCCTTATTAAAGAAGATGTAATGTGTACACATGCATTAATTAAACTTGCTCCAGTTTTAATAAGAAATTAAATCGCTTTTCTTGCCCTTTTTCAGACAAAACACCGAAAAACAAAAAGCGAAACTTCTCAGATAGGGTACGGACTGTAAAAGAGTTGGACGTCCTTTATTTCTCATTGAATCAAAAGAGTAGAACCCTTGCGTCACAATTCTAGATACTTTCCCTTGCTTTCATAATAATAGAACGCCACACGGACACAATTGATAATGTGTTCCCTTTCTTTCTTACATGTATGAATGTACGTAGTACATATATGTATTACCTATACATGTGTACATATGGAGCCGTTTATTTTGTTACGTTAATTTGGCAGTAACACAGGTACGTTCTAATAAAACTTTTTCTCATAAACAATCACACGTATAGGTACCATGTACGTTGAGTGTTTAATCATATGCATGAATTGGGCGGCCGGTTTGGTAATTTTAATACTACCCCAAGCGAGAATCCCGGTGTAGGCGTATTTGCGGGATTGTTTTAAAAAATTTTGATTTTTCAGACCCATCTGTTACATTCCTGGCCTCCATGTAATAACCTTCACTGAATCTCTGCTCTCGCAGATACACACTTAGATATATAACTACATACATACATATATGAACACATACATCCACATCATCTCACATGAAACAGACAGGGCTAGTTCGCGACTGTGATTTTCGCCAAGGTCTTCTTTTGTTTTAAACTGTATTACGTTATTTTTGTGTATTTGTTACTGACAGAAGATCGACTTCCTGAGAGAGTGCATACATATGTATTTTTATTTACTTACAATCGTATAAATTGCAATTCTATATGTACGTATGTAGATATATTATATAAACCGTGGTACAATAATTTATTAGCGGCGATTTTTTTTTTTATTATTAATAATAACAGTTGCGAAGCTCCAGAATATATATGCTAAAATATTGTTAAAAACAATTCCTGTATTTGTAATGCTCTAAAGTGTAGGTCTTCACTGTCAAAGAAGATCATAGTAGGTCCTACAAGCTTCCCGAATTTCCCACGGTTTTTCTTTTCGTTTGATCTTACCCGTATACGTGTCTATGTACATTGGTTTTATTTTCAACAAGTCGGATTGCCTTCCCTTCAATCAGGAAAAATTAGTTATCATTCGGGGACATTCTCAAAACCCTAGGACATTCAGGAAAATATATGACATTCTATAACGCTCTGATCAGACGTCGGAACTCAATAAACAGTCCTTCAGGGTGATAGTCTTTTAACCTCCATATCCTTGAAACCAACGCCGGCAGCTGAAACCCAAAACCTTCTTCATGGACAGGAGATGGAATGCTATCATACCATATAACCCGCATGAGGCTTCGGGATTCGTCTGAGGAGCTGTAGAGGCACAAGCCGGATTATCCTTGCTTCGTTCAGGAATGATTAGTTATTATTTCGGAACGTTCTCGAATCTTCTAAATTATTCTCGAACCCTATAGATATAGAAGATTCAGGAAAATATGTGACATTCTCTAACGATCTGATCAGACGTCGGAACTCAATAAACTCCTTTTGCTCTCTCTCTGTATGGAGTCCTTTGGGGAGATAGTCTTTTAACCCCCATATCCTTGAAACCAACGCCGGCAACTGAAACCCAACGGGAGATGATGGAATGCTATCATACCATATAGGTAACCCTCATGAGGTCTCGGGATTCGGCTGAGGAGCTTTAGCGGCCCATAAACACAAACTACAGTTACTTTTATTGCATACAAGCCGGATTATCCTCGCTTTGTTCAGGAATGATTAGTTATCATTTGGGAACGTTCTCGAACCTTCTTCATAGTTGAAGGTTTCCATACCATAAATACCTATAACCTTCTCTGATATTAAGTGTAGTTTTCCAAAAGTTTCCCATTAGTTAATTTAATATGCTTGTATTATTGTTATTGTATTTCCTATTACTTGATGGAAGGCAAATAATCAATATTCATGTACCGCCACTGTAATTTACATGTTAATGAATGTAGCTGTTACGTGCTATAATATCTATTAATTATTACATTGGATGAATTGAAAAAAAAGATAAAAAAGTACCTATTTGTAGAAATAGAAAAGAGGTGGAAGAAATGTGTGAAGTGTGATGAATAAAGTAAATAATAAACGAGAGATAGATTATGTCTTGTTCATTTTGAAACAGTTGCAAACAAATTGAAAACAACCGAATTTCTACATCGGCCATTCTTTAGCTTTCAAGTTAGGCAACATGCGTTGGAAAGTAAAATCTTAAAGTGGCTTTCGAGAACATTACCTAATTTGTTCCATCACATGTGTAAAATTATTATGGTGCAGACCATTTTATCGTCTACTATCGAAATTTGCATAAGACAGTTCAACATATAATTCAACTTATGTGTGTGTATATATATAGTTTGTACTTATCTACGCGAATTGTCCACTAATCTTTTAAGTTTTACGTCCGTTTTCAAAGTCGAAGCAAAAGTTAGATTATGACATAGCTTTGCCGTTCTAATTGTTGATCATAGATCACTTTCATTTTTTAACACGTGCTCGAGTATAACTTTCAGTTTAACTTACCGAAATCGTCGTCTGTAATATGATTCATCACTCGAAAGAGTCATAACTGATTTTTAACAATTAATTAACAAACACAAATAGATTATCGGTTCATTGCTGTTTCAGATTTTATCGTCACACTGATAATTAAACTCCTCCAAATAACCATTACATAAACAAAAGTAATTACTTAAAATCAACACTCAGTTACTAGGTACTACGTACTATTCTATTTTCTTTTTGTTACTTAAAAAAAAAACAAACGACTTGTTTCGGAACATTTAAGAATAAAGAGAACATTTTAAATTTATTGTATCGTTTCTGTGAAAGAAGAAAATACAAAGGAACCCAAAAGTAGTCACGAAATTGGAAGAAGGGTATATTTCCTTTGAAAAACTGACTCCCCACAGTTTGGTACTCTGCGCAACTATCGCGAATGCGAAACATAAGTAAAGGGGAGTTTGGTATAGATATATATTCATTATGTTTTATGTATGTATGTATGTATGCATGTTAAAAGCGATCTCAATGTGTAAGTCAAAGAAATAATACCATCTCTTTCTTTCGTCTTTATGGCAAGCAACATTCAACTCAACCAAAAACCACTTTCACTTCCCTGCAAAGCAGAGACCTTGAAGGTTTAAAACAGGTAAAATCAGTCTCGAGGACAACATCCGAATACAAACGGATCAATTGTTTCATAAAGTACTGGTCCGGATCGACAATTATACTTACTGACGCATATGCTATGGAATAGTCTAACGAAATGTTACTTTTCTCATTACAACTAAACTGTCGTACAGCCTTCTACTTCTAGCTACTTTCTGAACTTGTATTGTAATTATTAAATTTAATTCTACTGTTTTTCATTGTCGCCTCGAATAATTGTTACATTACCAAAATGTGTAAGGCCAAGGAATCACTCCCTTTTAAATCCCTCCGTCATTACACCCTCAGAGGCTAAAGCATAAGCAATCTTTTTGTATTTCTTTTTGTCTATTAAACAATATTCATAATAAGTCGTAGTTTTCTTGCTTGTAAATATTATCTACCATAAGCCAACTAACTGTAAAGATTATAAATTACCGAAGCTAATTGTAAAACTCGATAGGTTCTATCCCAAGTTCGTTAAAAACATCGAACATCGATTACATTTTTAATGTTTTTAGTAATATTGAACGAAAATACATACCGATAACGAAACCAAAAAGAAAATAATAGAATTCAACTGTAAGCTGTTCTCTTTTATAAAGATAGCAGTTCGATTACTACTTACCGAAGCAAGTTGTTAATCTCGCTTACTTCTATCCGAATTTCGTTAGAAAAAGTGTATGAATATGATAACATTTTTAATGTTTTTAGTAATACTGAACGAAAATACATACCGATAACGAAACCAAAAGAAAATAACACCATCGATTTATAAGTTATTCTATTTTGTAAAGATAGCAGATCGATTATGACTTACGAAAGCGAATTGTAAATCTCGCTAGGTTCTATCCGAAGTTCGAAGTATATGAGTACGATAACATTTGTAATGTTTTTAGTAATATTGAACGAAAATACGTACTGTTATGTTCTAATACTATAAACACCTTTTTTACTTTCACGTCATTAGTAGTTAATGACCCATAATAATATAAGGGACAGATAGTAATTGTTAAGTTAGTTCTAAGTTTGGTTTTGTACCTCTTTGACCTCTTTTTAATAAAGTCTTTTCAAACGTTTAATCCTATTTTGTATAACATCGACTTGGTTCGATTGAGTGTTATCAAAGGGTTAGTGTTCGAAATAAGAAGACTTTACAATTGTTCTATTATTGTCAAAACTCCAATTATTTTACATTGAAAGGCAACGTCCTGGTGTAAATTAAAGGTGTCTTTTACAATAATTAAGTAGAACACCCAGTTAAACGTGTCTGGGATAAAAACAACGTATTGTACGCCGACCATAAGGGATCCTTCGGACCAGTCCTCAGCGTCGTGACGTAACAAAATTGGCGCAGTCAGTAGGATCTTCAGAGGAATTTCTTCGAAGATCAACGCTAGTGATTCGAAAAGGTTTTGCAGAGATTCATCTTCAATCTTTCACCATACCGGTCACTAGAGGGATTCAGAGAAGCTGTCACAACCACATCCACCCGTGACTAAATTAGCTGACGAGGAATTCCAAGAGAAATCAATTCTATGCATCGGGCATCTTTTCTCCTAATCATCTGGTGAGTAGTTTTTAATTGTATCCAGTGCTTTAAACGAATTTATTATGTCTTTACAACCGGAACAAT